CTTTCATTTTTTATTTTCTACTTTCCTTCCGATTTTCTTTCTTTCTCTTGTCTCCAGTAGCATCTGTTATCCTTTGGTGGTGTGCTTTGAGCTTTTGTCTCAATTTGGTTCTGAGTTTATTATGCATCTTTCCTCCCCAATTGTTATTCCTCTTCACGAATCCTCTATCATCACCCTTGGTAATTTGTTTCATTGGATGGCTCTTTCAAGTCTCTCATTTGGAGGAGTGCTCCGGCGTTCGGTGGCTTTTAAAATGCTTTTTGCACTATTTGTTAGGATTATAAGAGTGCTCACTACGTGGGTGGCTTGGCCACCCTCATTTTCCGTTCATCCATTTGGTTCCTTGGTTCGTCTTCTTGATGGTGTTGGTGTTGTGAAGGTGCTGCAACTAGCTTGAAGGATGCGACATTTTTCCTTTTTTAGATCTAGGGTTTCAATTGGAGTTTTCTCTTGTTTTGGTCTATGTTCTTTCTTTTCTTATCATTGTATTTTCTATTATGTTGGATTATGCTTTTACTTGTTTGTTTTGGGTTGTACATCTCTTGTACTAGCCTTCTTTATTAATGAATTTTATAATGTTTGACAAAAAAAAAAAAAAAAAAAAACACAGTGTCTAAATCCAAAAGCAAAAACAGAAGCACAAAACGAAAACTGCATTATAGTGTCTGCATTCAAATGGTAAAAACAGAACCAACATTAGATGTGGCGTGGCTAATCAAAATAGACATTTGACAAGTAAAGTCTAACTCAAAGGTAAGAATTGAATCAGGAAATAGACACTTCAATGCAGTGTTTGAATCCAAAGGCAAAAACTGAAGCACAAAGCAGAAACTACATTACAGTGTTTGCGTTCAAATGGTAAAAACAGAACCAATTTTGTTTTTGGTTTGGATGGTGTTGATTAGTCAAACTATTTATTTGGGTTTGATGGAGGAGAGAGAGAAAAATAAAGAGGTATGGAGAGGAGAGATAAACAGGAGAAAGTGAAGAGATAGAAGGGAAGAGAAAGACATGAAAGAAAATCGAGAGAGAATGAAGTACATAAGGATGAAAGAAGAGAGGAGATAAAGAACAGAATAAAATGAAGAGAGAAGGGTATAATAGTTATTCTCTAACAAGCTTAAACCCATGTGACATGATTTATTGACCAATGTATAATTATTATAAATATTTCATTGATTATGTCAAAAAAAAAAAAAAATATTGGCCATTCATGTATGGCTAATTAGTAAAGATTTTATTGACCTTTGACTAAATATCCTTAATTATAATGGAGGTTTAAAGTCTACTTTGGGCTTTGAAATGCTTTTGGGATCAACCGGGACATTGAGCCCAAGACAAATTGAACTAGATTAAGTAGTGGCCCAAAAGGCCTATATGATTGCTATGGCCGGTTGGTTTTGACCTAGTGTTAGTGGGTTTCGTTCTTATTTTATTTTCACAAATGAAGTGCAAAACAAACTCATGTGATGGTGTAAGTGAAAAGATTTAAAGCGAAGGTTCTCTTGGAAGTTTAAGGATGTAATCTTCATTCACTTCACTGTTCTTTGCATTTAATAGTTCTCTTAGCTCCCTTCCTTCTGTTTTCTCCCCGTGTATTGGTACTCAAAAGGAAAAACTTGTACAGAAATATAAAAAGAAAAAGGAAGGAAGAAAGAAAGAGAAAAACACCATCTCCACCACCAAACTTTCCACCCTATCCCTCCCTATGATAGAATAAATGTTTCATTGTCACCGGAACATATGTGGTACATCACGTGTTTTTATATAAGTGGTGGTAAATTTTATTTTTAAAGTTATTAACTTTTTAATACATATATCCCACAATTTGTATCGGGACACGTGATGATCACACTGAAAAATCTCTCCTATAATAGAGCAAGTGGGTATTAGCATGTCACATTTGCTCTATCCTACACTCACCACACACAAGGAGGTGTCGAAATATTAAGGGGTATCTGCTTTGGTGCATAAAGGAGAAGCTACACAAGCTGGAGCAAGGAGAAAGAAGTTGGAGGAGTTACATGCTTGGCTTCAAAGCTAGATGCAAAGGTATAACTTATAATCTTCCATTTAATATTAAAGTAAATGAATATACCAACCATAGGACCAAGATTTTGAAGGGGGGTTTGTAGCACTTTAGTTTGCTTCCGCCCTTTTTTTTTACATGCATGTTAATCTACTTGTATTTTATCTTATGCATGCCAGTTAGATTCACTCCTTGAAACCCTTTACAAGCCGACTTCTTGTGCTGGTTTCCGTGGTGGCTGGGCACTCCTTGGCCGTTTTGGTTGAGCCACCTCGTATGCTCAAATGCAAGGCAAATTCTATCCGTCTTGATTCGGCGGTGGTGTGGAACTATTGCGGACCTATAGCTTGATCTGTGGCCAATAAGCCTTCCATGGTTGCAGTTGCAGCGGGTTTCCTTACTTAGGTTGTGGTACTGCAGATCGTTCGAGGGTACGGTGACGTTGTTGTCGATCAGAAGGAGCTACCCTGTTTTTTGTAGTGGTGATGAGCCGTCGGTGGTTTTCCTATTGGCTTAGTTGTAATTTGTGTTCGTTTGTGCCACCTAGAAGTTGTGTGTTCTCACTTTTGTGATGGCTCTGCATGTTGCTCGGTCTAGGTTTTGTCATTACAGATCTATTGTGGCAGGTTTGCACTGCTGGTTCTTGTGTGTTGTATTGGTGTGGTGGCTATGCAGGGGATTTACTAGTTTGTTGTGCTTTACTCTCTCAAGATCAAGGTTTTGGTCAATGGAGAAATACACCTAGTTTGGCACCCTTTCTGTAATCGTGTTGTAATCATGTCTTAAATTTTAATGGGATAGCACTATCCCTTCGGATCAAAAAACAAAAAGAATATTTTTGTATTGTCAACGTTCATTACTAAATTTCTGGTATTGGTATAAAATTAATCCGAGAATAATGTCTTATACAGTTAAGGTAATGCTAGAGAGGCTATCTATTTGAACCATATTTTGTATATCACATGATATAACTGTTGTTGGTTGAATTCATTATTTAAATCATTAAAAAAAAATATTCAACTATCAACCACCACATTATGTACTCCGTAAAATATGATCTGAAATTATGGTCTCCTCATTTTCTATACAGTTAATTTGGCTAGTTGGTTTTGTTGTTGTAATTAACTTTTTGAGTAATGATAAGAGACTACATTATTCTCGTTTGCTAAAAAGAAAAACACACTAAGCTACCAAAAGAGACAGAAGCAGTTATAAGAAAAAATCAGGACGTTGCAGATAATGCACTTTCGATAAAAGCATCTTATCTTTTTCTTTAAATCACAATTTATTACCATTGTCTTCATTATTAGACTGTTTTCTTTGTTTTTGTTTGCCAGAGTTTATTAGATTTTATATGTCTCTCTCTCTGTCTCTCTAAAATAAGAGGATGCACCATGCATCGGTTAATCCGAAGAATCCAGTCGAACATCGCTCTATTTCGCAATTCAGCCTTGTTGCTTACTGCCTTGTTCATTGCTGCATGGGAGGGACCTGCAATTGTGAGTAGCAGAAAACCGAGCATGGGAACATTAAGGTACCATTTGGTACGTGAGACGGGACGGAACGGAATGGAATGGGACAAGACTCTTCGTTCCACGTTTGGTGTGCCTAAAACGGATGGAACGCACTGTTTTACGGGACTAGTTTTAGATGAATTTTCGTTCCATCTCCCCTGGAACGACTTGATCCATATCCGTGAAACACAAATTTATAACATTTTAAGACAAAAATACCCCTTATCTTTTTCAATATTTACACCATCCAAAAAACAAAGCCTAAAATTCTACCTTCTTCGTTCCATCTTCTCCGCTTGCCACTGCATTTTCCCGTAGCCTTCCTCCTCATTCTCTCCCGTAGCAGCTGCATCTCTAGGTTCGATATTGATCTTCTCCCATAACCGCTGCATCTCTAGGTTCGATCTCGATCTTCTCCCGTAGCCGCTGCATCTCGAGGTTTGTTTTCTTGATTTTTCCATGGAAAATTTCAATTTTCTGGGAAAGTAGGATGATTATGAGAAAATAAGTTAGTTTTCTTGGTTTCTCTGGTTTAACTTGTGCTTGGGAAAAAGGAACAAAGTCTGATTTTTAAGGTTTATTACGATTGTGGTTTGTAAAGAATTGGATCTGGTTCCGAGCTGTGCAATTTAGTAGGTTCGGTTGTGAGCTTGGCTTTGTATGATGGAAAAAGCTGGTTCTTTCTACATTTGGTCAGCTGAAATGTTAATCAGTTTGATGCATTTTAATTGTTATTTTACTGATTATTGGTCAGTTTGATGCATTTTAATGGTTGTGAGCTTGGCTTTAACCATGTCAGACATCGTGTAATTTTGTAACTGCTTTGCTAGGAGAGAAGCATGCATGCTGTTTAGGAAAAACTATGTGAAAGATTGTGACTTGCAAGCAGTTTTACTAGTGTGTGTGATTGTAAAAGATGGTCTGTTGGAAGTTTATTTGGTGTTCTCATATGTGTTAATATGTATACAGATATATCAGAGAAAGAATTATCAAGAATTTAGAGAGAGAAAGTAAGAAGAGAGAGATGAATATATTGTTGTGTATATATTTCTTACTCAGGAAGTCATTACACTTAGACTTATATAGAAGCCAAATACATGTAACAAACTAACTAACTAAATGCACAATCTATTGACAAGTGTCATAATCTCATAACACTAATATATATCCTAACATCCCCCCTCAATCGCAGGTTTGGATGAACCAAGCATGAGATTGGTACAATGAGACCGAAACAAAGGAGAACTAAGTCCTTTTGTTAGTATATCCGCAAATTGCTCCCTGGAAGATACAAACTGAACCATGAGACGATATTTGGCAACCCGTTCACGCATAAAATGAACATCTATCTCAATGTGCTTCGTACGCTGATGTTGAACAGGATTGAAGGACAGGGCTATTGCAGACAAATTGTCACAAAAAAGAACTGGAGCTGTTGGAAGTTTGAAGTGCAGAAACTAAAGAAGCTGTTGGATCCAATCCAGTTCAGCGGAAGTGGAAGACATAGCCCGATATTTCACCTCTGTAGAGGATTGAGACACGATATTCTGCTTCTTAAAGGACCAGGATATAGGATTGCCACCTAAAAACACAATTAAGCCCGTTGTAGACCTTCGATCATTAGGGTCGCCGGCCCAATCTGCATCACTAAAGGCTTTTAACTGTAAGTCACTAGCAGAATATGATATACCAAAGGTCATAGTACCTTTTAAGTATCGCAATATTCTCTTGACTGTAGTGTAATGAGAAACCATAGGGGTCTGCATAAACTGACACACTTGATGAACAGAAAAAGCAATGTCCGGCCTGATGAAAGTGAGATACTGCAATGCACCTACTATACTTCGATAAGTTGCAGGATTGTTAAAAGGAGAACCATCATCCTTGAGTAATCGAGTGTAAGGCAAGCAAGGTGTATCACACGGCTTGCAATCAACCATTTCTGCTTTCTATAATAACTCTTGTATATACTTGGTCTGAGACAAGAAAAAACTTGTACCAATTCTATCAATTTGGATGCCAAGGAAGTAGTGCAGATTTCCCATATCTTTAATATCAAATTCAACTGTAAGAGAGTCAGTGACATGTTGAATTTGAGAAGAAGCACTACCAGTGACAATTATGTCATCAACATAGAGTAGTAAAATCACAATCTCAGTACCAATATGCTTAACAAACAGAGAAGAATCAACATAAGTGGAAGCAAAACCAAGAGAAGGCAAAAAATTGGTGAACCGTTCATTCCATGCCTTTGGGGCCTGTTTCAAACCATATGAAGACTTGTACAATTTACATACGAACTCAGGATGTTTTGGATCTTCAAACCCTGGAGGCTGAGCCATATATACCTCTTCGTGCAACAAGCCATGTAAGAAGGCATTTTTAACATTGAGCTGCCGTAACGACCATTTAAAATGTGAAGCCAAAGCTAGAATTAATCGAATAGTAGTAGGTTTGATGACCGGGCTAAAAGTTTCCCCATAATCTAGTCCAGGTTCTTGGCTACTAGCCTAGCTTTATGCCTGGAAATAGAACCATCAGAGTTCTTCTTAAGCTTGAAAATCCATTTGCAACCCATTAAGTTTTTCTGAAAAGGTAATGGAACCAAACTCCAAGTTGCTTGAGTTTGCAGTGCTTCAATCTCTTCTTGCATGGCTTTATACCAAACAGGGACCTTAATGGTAGATTTATAAGTTACAGGCTCACACAGTGTCAAATCAACATAACTGGAATCACTGAGAGTGCTGAGGAATGCTTTCTTCTTAACAATACCATTCTTACTCCGAGTTTGCATAGGATGCATATTTAAAGGAGCAATAGGCAACACTGGTTGTAGTTGAGCAGGACTAAACTCAGGATCCACAGGGAGTAAGGAGGAAGAGCTTGCTGAGATAGTAATAGACTGATGAGATGAAGCATTTGTGGGATTCAAAGTAAAGAGTCTAGGGTTATAGGGGTGGAAATTGTTTGAGGAGGTATGATATATGGTATTGGTTCCACGGCTAAGGGTATTGAATGATGAACAACAGAAGATGCAAGTAATGAGTCACATGATATGACACACTTAGACTGAGCTAGCAATTGTTGATACAGAAAAGTGGATTCATCAAACACAACATGTCGAGATATAAAAATCCTACCTTCAAAACATCATGACAAATAAAGCCCTTATATTTAGACGCATACCCCAGAAAAACAGACTTAGTAGTTTTAGGTTGTAATTTGGAAGTGTTTTATGGCTTTAGTAAAGGAAAACACGAACACCCAAAAACTCTAAGATGAGTCATCACAGGAGATGTACCAAATAGTAACTCAAATGGAGACTTATGTTTTAAAACTGGTGTAGGCATCCTATTGATTAAATAGGCAGCAACCTGACAAGCAAAATACCAAAACTGAGAGGGAAGCTTGGCATATTGCAGCAGGGTAACAGTTGTTTCTATAAGATGCTTATGTTTTTTTTCGGCTAAGCCGTTTTGCTCAGGAGTGTATGGACAAGAGATTTGATGTAACACCCCTTTGATTTTGAGAAAAGCTTGTAGTTTATGATTTATATACTCTCCCCCACCATCTGTTTGTAAAGTCTTAATGGTTGCAGAAAACTGAGCTTGAACAAAGGTATAAAAACAGACAAATGTATCAAAAAAGTCTGATTTATTTATAAGTGGGAACACCCAACATAATCTGGTACATTCATCAATGATAGTTACAAAGAATTTGAAACCATCAATTGAATTACAGGGTGCAGGGCCCCAAAGATCACTGTGTACAACTTCAAAAGGTATTTGAGATTGATGAGTACTAGATTGAAAAGGCAATTTTGTAAACTTCCCTTCTAGGCAACTATGACAGACTATTGGTACATCATCCTTGGAACACCTAATATTAGCTTTACATAGCATAGTAGAAACAATATTATTTGTAGGGTGACCTAACCTACTATGCTAAAGAGATGAACTTATGAGCTGTCCCAAATATGCAGAGACCTTGATATTGCTTGGTGAATAAGAAGCATGCTGTTTGGCAAGGGATGGGATGGGATAAAGTCCATTACTGCATAGCCCTTTGTAGAGGATCCTCCATGTGGCCTTGTCCTGAATCCAAAAACAGAATGCATCAAAAATCAACCAGCAGTTGTTATCAAGACAGATTCTATGCACGGATAATAGATTCTGAGACAATTTGGGCACATATAAAACAGAATTTAATTTGATGGGATGTACTGGTGTATGAATAACAGTGCTGCTAACATGAGATACTGTCAAACCTTCTCCATTAGCAGTTTGAACTGTCTCATTTGTTAGATATGGAAAGGCTAAAGACAAGTTAATGAGATCAGTGGTCATGTGATTCGTGGCCCCGGAATTAGCAAGCTAAAGTTGAGGAGAAGTCTGAGATGAAGATGCCTGAGAAGAAGATGGAACCATTGTATGCATGGCTTGCATTACAAGCTAAGAAGGAAACTGCGGTGCTGAAGGAGCATAGGAATACTGAGCCATGGATGGGTACTGTGGACCAATGTATGAAGGACCCTTATCATTATAAAAGCAAAACCAAGTTGTGTGGTTGTTCTTCCCACAAATCTGGCAACTAGCTTTATCCACTGTCTTGGAGTGGCAAAATGGTGCAGTATGACCATATGCATTACACAATTGACAAAAAACAGATTGAGCAAAAAATACAGTTGGAGATGGACCAAGAACACCTGCGGTAGGGACATGAGGCTGATTAAAGAACTGTTGTCTTGATGCAGGATACCAATACCCTTGATTGAACTTTCCTTTACCCTTCTGCCTATTATTGGTAAACTGTCTAAAACCACCAGTATGACCATTAGATGATCCAGCAGATGAACTATAGGGCACATGACCAGGATGAGATTGAGAATGATAAGAGGAAGACTTAGGTTCAGAAATGGTATTCGTATTAGCAACCATGGCAGACAAAAACTGAGATGATACATTGCTTTCCACAATTAGTTCTTCCGCTAGTAATTGAGACCTAAAGTCTTTAAGAGAAATGAGAAATGACACTTTCCCTGCCTCGAATAACACATCGAAAAGTATTGTACTCAAGAGGTAAGCCATTGAGTGCCAATATGACAATATCCTCATCAGCAAAGTAAACCCCAGTAGCAAACAAATAATCTCGAGCCTCCTTAATTCGCTGCAAATATTTAGACACAGAATCGGACCCTTTCTTAATAGTTTGCAGATTAGATTTCATCTGAAATATGCTGGTTCTTGAAACGGTAGAAAACTATTCTTTCAATCTATTTCAAAGATCACAGGCACTAGAACTACCAATAGCACAAGAAATGGAAACAGGTGATAAAGTTGCAGTAATCAGTTTCATCAATGCTCGATCATGCATTTTCCAAACAACATATGCATCATTCTCAATTTGAGAAGAAGAATTACCAGATACTATACCAGATTCACTCGAATTAACAAGAAATCGAGGAGGACAGAGATTAGAGCCATCAATAAACTGCATAATTCCATGACCTTCTAACAGCAATTGCATTTGAAATTGCCAATTCAAGTAATTTGTATCATCAAGCTTAATATTCACAGAAGTAGGAATTGTGGAAATGAGAGCAGTAATTGGAGATTGAAGAAGCTGAAGTTGTGATGCAGTTACCATATTTGCAATCTTCGAAGAAAAAATTGTCACTTAGAAAACAAAACAAACACCTGGTGTGCAGCAAAGCTTCAACACAACGTCAAAAGATCCTAACTTGCAGCAAACCCTAGAAATTGAGAGAAGAAGGAGTGTGCACTCGTACAGAGAAAGAACACAATCACGAGCAGCAACAAACTCTAGAAATGGCGAGAAGAAGATCGGCAATCGTAGAGGTTATATCAAATTGGAGAAGAGGAAGGAACAAAAGGATCGAACAGAGTAGCATTAGCTAATCCGGCGATTGATACCATGTTAATATGTATACAGATATATCAGAGAAAGAATTATGAAAAATTTAGAGAGAGAAAGTAAGAAGAGAGAGAGATGAATATATTGTTGTGTATATATTTCTTACTCAGGAAGTCATTACACTTAGACTTATATAGAATCCAAATACATGTAACAAACTAACTAACTAAATGCACAATCTATTGACAAGTGTCATAATCTCATAACACTAATATATATCCTAACAATATGCTCATCTCTCCTCCTAAAAAAACAAAAGCATGATTTGGAATTATCACGAGATTGGTCATTCATGGCTTGCTGATAAATTCGTTGAATATTAATTGTTAAATTTTTCAAATTTCGGCACTGGCAGTTTTGTTCTTACTAATTTGCCCTAAAGTTTCAATCTTTTTGTTGGGGGGGGGGGGGGGGCGGTTTGATTTAGTTGTTTATGAAATTAGAGGTTTCTAATTACTTGTGGGAAATGTGAGTCCCTTCTTTAACTATAATCTATGGCATTCTCTTCCAATTGTTTTTCGTGGCGTTTTTTTTGCTTTGGATGAATGATTGTTGTGGGGTTTTTACTTGTTTTGCGGTTTGTATAGGTACTATGGAGGATGGGCAGCACCTAATATATACTTCTTGGGGTTTGCTGGTGTAGTCAAGTTCGGAAACCTTCGAATTGGTGGACTCTCTGGAATTTATAAACAGCCCGATTTTCTTAAAGGTTAGTTTGCTTTAGTTTTGTACCATTATAGGTGTTTACTTCATTGCTTATCTTTTGTTGGTAAAACAGTAGCTGTTTATGTTTTGCTATTATCGTAAAATAGCGATGGCGGTTTGTGCAATTTTGATATATGGTGTTAAATGTTTGAAGGTGGTTCATTTTTTGTCCTTTTGAGCAGGACACTTTGACAGGCCTCCTTATAATGGTCATACTATTAGGTCAGTATATCATGTTCGTGAGTATGATTTCCACAAACTCATGCAAGTTGAGGAACCAGTCGATATTTTTCTTTCACATGATTGCCCTGTTGGCATCACTGATTGTGGGGACTGGAAGGAACTTGTTCGGGAAAAACCAGATTTTAAGCAGGAGGTAATTGCAAGAACGGAAAAATGAGTTAGTAAGCTCTGATTTGTATGTTTTCGAACCACTTATCTTGTTTAAAATGTCATTAGGTTCAAGAAAGAAATCTTGGAAGTAAACCAGCTGCTCAATTGCTAGAAAAACTGAAACCACCTTATTGGTTTTCAGCTGATTTACACTGCAAATTTGCTGCTCGTGTTCAACATGGGGAAGATGGTTCAGTGACAAACTTTCTTGCCCTTGATAAGTGCCTACCAGGACGCAAATTTCTTCAGTTAGTTTGTTGAGATTGTAGGAAGGCTGTTAGTCTGTTAGGATTTGTAGGGATACAAGGAAGTTGGTTGGTTAGTAGCTTATGAGTGAAGCAAAGAATACTTGTATAAATAACAAACACCTCTCTCTGTGTAATTCATTCATTGTTCAAGGAATACAATTTTTAGTCATTTACTTTCTCTCTCTAAATTCTCTGCCATTGTTTTTCATTTTGCTTCTTCTGCCATGTCTTCAGTCAAGAAATGGCATAACATATCTTTAGCCATGTGCTACCGTAAAAAATATATCATAGACAAGCATATATGTGTTCAAATATGAACAAGTCAACAAAAAAAAAAAAAAATCGTCCCGAACCACGTATAAATGTTGTACCAAACAACAAATGGAACAAGGGTAAGTTAGTCATTCAATATTTTGGTTATGTTCCGTCCAACGCGTATCAAACGCAAAACGGAACAATCGTCCCATTCCGTCCTGCGCGTTCCAAACATAACACGGAACCTCCGTTCTGTCCCGTCCTGTCCCCTCCTGTTCCGTTCCGTCTCGTCCAGTCTGCGTACCAAATGGTACCTGAGAGAACCTCATGACGGCATACATCTGGACAGGGCCGATCCTGAGAATTGGGGGGGGGGGGCTCTAGGCAAGCCTTCGATGTGGGGCCCTAAATTTTTCTGACTCCCGATCTTTTGTATATTGACATGTGAAAAAAAAATCACTAAATACATGAAAAGTCTATTTATACATCAAATATCATTAAAAATTAATATAAAAAAAAGATATACAAACATTACTCAAATATTACCCATCTCGCATTTTTACATGCAAATGCACTTATTAAGTTTACATAATCTAATTTTTCAACCAATTCAAACCAAAAGAGAAGTCCCTACGCCAAACTCCCATCATTTTTCTATTGTTACAATGTTACTTATTACATTCAATAAATGAATGAATGGTTGGATTACATAGACAACATCTTACAGCTAGGGAAAATACTAGAGTGAAGAGGATAGTAATTTTCATATACGAACCTAGGCGGACGAGACAGATTTGAATAATTTATTATATATTATATAAACTAATTAATTTGAACATTAAATAATGTCATTTTTAAAAAATGTGAGAGTTTTAACCTTTTAGGCACATAATAAAGATATATGTGGTGTGATATTAAAATAGGGTAATAAAACCTCATAAAAATAAACATAAAGGTGATATTTAAGAGAGAAGTAAAAAAGTAAAAATAAGATAGTGGAGACAATTTAAAAAAGAGAAGATGTGCATCTGTAAAAAAAAGATGGTGGGACCATGTAAAGTAAAATGGTGCAATTAAAATGAAGTGGGGAATAGGGTTATTTTCTTCCTCGCGCGAGACCAACCCTGCAACAAAAGATTTTCAAATTCCAGAGTTTACATATAAGCCCGCATAGCTCTCACTTATCTCCATCCAAACCTGCCTAGTTCCGCCTAAAAATTAGGGGCCTTCCGAAGTGGGGGCCCTAGGCGGGCGAATACTCCGGTTACCCTCAGGGCCGGCTCTGCATCCGGAGAAAACAGTAGTCTGGATTTACAACAACTTAGGTCCAGGGCTAGACCTTACCATCCACTACAAATCCAAGAATGACGATCTAGGAACTCATGTCATACCGTACCAGAGTAACTACCAGTGGAGTTTCCACGTTAATTTCTGGGAAACAACACCTTTCTTCTGCGAATTGAGTTGGCAAGAAGGATCAAGAGTTTTTGACATATTTGTAGCTATGCGGGATGAGTATAGATGTCCGTACTAGTGCAATTGGATAGCTTACACAGACGGCATGCATGGCTTAAAAGAAGGAACTCAGGCCATCTCCAACCGAAGGGTCCAGAGGGCCAGAGGGCCGAAAATAGCCCGAAAATCGTCTCCAACTAAGGGCTAGGCCAGAGGGCTGTGGAATCTGTGAGAGCCTCATAGAATTGGAGAGGGCTGGAGGGCTGGCCAGAATACCGCTTAATCCTGTCGGTTATAACCGACAGGAATTTTTAAAAAGAATTTTGAATCCAACGGTTAGTTGGCGCCAGTTACCGTTGGATTCAAATAATTTTTTTTTTTTTGGTTGTTTTTTTTGTTTTCTTGGGGTTTTTGGGCCTTTTTTTTAATTCTAAAAAATTCTATTTTTTTTCCTATCAATACCTAAACCATTCATTCACCATTCCTCACAAAATTTTTAAATTTAAGTTAATGTTGTTTTCAAATTTAATTTGTAGTTTTTAAATTTAATTTGTCATTTTTAAAATTTAGTTGTAGTTTTGAATATAAGTTGTAGTTTTTAAATTTAAGTTGTTTTTGTTTTAAAATTTAAGTTGTTGTAGTTTTTAAATAATAAATTATGTTTGACCCTCGGTTGGAGACTTTTTTGTGACAGGGCTAAAACGAGCCATTTGGCCCTCGGTTGGAGACGGAGACAAATATGGTCATGTACTTGTAGACATCGAAATTTCGGTGAAATAAATGTTGACCAATAGTTACAATTTCAACACTCACGTGTCACATAAATTTTACACATAGCGTGTGACTAAACGAAAAATCAAAATAAATCGGAAAAATCATCAAATAGGACACATGTCAACACCTGGCAGAAACGATTTATTTCATCTGCATATTATATTCAAAATTAGAACTTGGAAAATTCTATAAATAGAAGTCATTTCATTCATTTTGAAAAAAAAGGAATTCATAACCAATTCAAGACCAATAGATGACCAATTCACTTCACACCAAAACCTTGAAGCTTTGAAACTCCAAAGCTCCCAAGCAAATCCTGAAGGATCAAGAAAGCTCTCTTTGTTCTTCGTCAGCCCAACCTTCAAGATCAAGCCCCAACGGCCCTTTGAAGGAATTTCCACCAATTCAAGATCAAGCCCCGACGGCCCTTGAAGAAAGCGTTCATCGTTCATCCTAAGATCAAGCCCCAATGGCCCTTTGGATCAACAACATCAACAAATCCACACATCCAACCGTTCTTCAAGATAAAGCCCAAAAGCCCTTGAAGATCCATTCATCAACTGTTCATCAAGATCAAGCCCCAAAGGCCCTTGAAGATCCGTTCATCAACAGTTCTTCAAGATCAAGCCCAAAAGCCTTGAAGATCCGTTCATCCAACCACCCTTCAAGATCAAGCCCAAAAGCCCTTGAAGATCTGTTCATCACTGTTCTTCAAGATCAAGCCCAAAAGCCCTTGAAGATCCGTTCATCACCGTCATTCAAGATCAAGCCTCAACGACCCTTGAAGAAACTTTCAACCGTTCATCCAAGATCAAGCCTCGACGGCCCCTGTATCAATCGCACATCCACAAATACACACCTTACGGAGATCGAATCAGATGATCAAATTTGAGAGAGATTGTAACCCAAAATCATCAAATACAAAATATTATTTTGTACACGTGTTCTTGTCTCGTTTGTCGCATGAAAATTTCGTGTTCACAAATTTGGCATGCCCGGTGGGACCATATCTACCTCTCATCTCTTTCTTCGTTCAAGGAATCCAAACACGCCTCAAGGTCAATGGCATCAAGCAAGGGACAAGCAGTTCTCGCAACCACCAAGGGAAGGATCCTGAGCACTTATGCCGCGAATGGACAATCCATTGGCGCCACAACCGCTCCTCAATATGCCACTTCAAAGTTGGTGCTGCTAAATGAGCAAGATGAGCATCATAGGCGTGAATCCGTCATCAACCTAACCTCACTGGGGGCACCGAAGTATGATGTTGAGGCACACAAGATGACATCCCAAAGCAGCCAACGACGTTTTTCGTCAGCATCCTGGATGTCTAAAGCAAAGTCACGTCTATTGGTTGCATAAGTCATGACCATTAGCGTTACCTCTATTGAAGAACAACTGGCTCAAATGAATGAAGCGATCGCAAGGTTAACACGGACTATGGAAGAAAAAGATCTGCAAATCGCTGAACTTGTCAGCCGACTAGGGCCACAGGACGGCGAGAACCCCGACCCAGTGGATGATCCACTAAAGAGAGGAGCTGGCGAAGAAGAGGAACTTCAAGTGGAGAAAATCGATGTGAAGCCGGAGCTAGACTAAGCAGCGGCACTAATGGGATCTCTTTCTATCTAGCAGCTGCAAGAGATGATCACCAACACCATCAAGGCGCAGTACGAAGGGAGCTCACATACCTCCTTGTTCTACTCGAAGCTCTACTCCAAGAAGATTAATGCCCTAAAGATGCCAAGGGGTTATTAACCACCAAAGTTCATGTAGTTTGATGGAAAAGGAAACCTAAAGCAGCACGTTGCACATTTCATCGAAACTTGCAACAACGCAGGGATAGTGGGAGACTACCTTGCCAAGCAGTTTGTGCGCTCACTGAAAGGAAACGCATTTGAGTGGTACACGGACTTAGAGCCTGAGTCCATCAACAACTGGGAGCAATTGGAAAGAGAATTCCTTAACCGCTTCTACATCACCCGCCGCACTGTCGTGGACTACATCAACCGATGACGCACTCTAAGTCTTGACTGCAAAGAGAGACTTTCGGAGACCTCCTCGATCAAGATGTGTGTTCAAGGCATGCAGTGGGAATTACACTACATCCTTCAAGGCATTAAACCATGGACCTTTGAGGAGTTAGCCACCCGCGCCCATGACATGGAGTTGAGCATCGCCCATCATGGGAAGAAAGAACCGATCGCCGACTACAAGAACGACAAAGTTCTTGGGACAAAGGTGGAGAATGCTGCGTGGAAATCCACCAATGAAGCAATGACGATCAACACAGCTCCCGTCAAAGTCTCTACACGAGGCAAGGTGATTCAAACCGAAGCTTTTCGTAATCAAGAGATGCGTAGACGCACTTTGAAGGAGCTTGAAGAGAAGACTTATCCATTCCCCAACTCTGATGTGGTTGCCATGTTAGAAGACTTGTTGGACAAAAAGGTGATCGACCTACCTGAGTGCAGACGGCCGGAAGAGATGAATCATACTGACAGTCCAAGGTACTGTAAATTCCACCGT